CAAGATTCCTCGGGTCTGAATGCCAGCTCCTCTCCTTATACTAGTTGCAGGACTTCGGGCAAGTCGTTCAACAGATTGCCGTTTTCTCTAGACAGTGATGGTAGCAGAGCCTACTAGGGTACCATATGGGATGTAGTCTCAGGAGGTGGTAACTGCAGCTCTAGGGGCAGGTGGCCTCTGCTGCTCAAAGCTCACCCAGCCCCTGGTCCAGATCATTTGGTAGATGAGCTGATGGATGCAAGGTGACCACTTCACTTTGGCCGAGAAATACTTGTCAGGTGAATGAGGATCAGGCTGTGAGCTTACAGGACAGGATTCCCACCTTCCCATTATGACCACAGGTATGCAGAGAAAGAGGGGTATTATCACCCCTTTCAGACAGATTGATTTGAACTGTGGGAGCACACCCTCTCAGCTGAGGCTGCCCTCGTCTTTCCTTGCTCATACGTGATACATCCATTTCTGTCACCTTCGCAGGAGAAAATAGATAACTGCATTACCCTTTTCTCACACCGGTCAGCTCTTTCCAGGATTGCTCCTATTCACGAAGAACTAACAGGTCCGTGAGTTTCGTGTGTGCATTGAGAGTATGAGTTGTCTTGTGTAAACCACTCGTGAACATGACATTTACCACCTGGATGCCAAGAAGAGGAGTCAGGGGTTTCTTTCCCCTTTTGGTGCTCTCACTACACCAGAAAGAATGGGTCGTTCATTCAGTTAATATTTATTACAAAGGGCCTCTGTGGGAGGAGGCTATTCTTAAACTCCACAAAGTACCCCTAACACCAAAGGGGAGCAGACAGGATGCTCAAGGGCACCTGGGGGTGCTGTGCAGTAGGGAGAGAGGAGGGGAGCGCATCAGGGAGCGCGAGTTGGCATTTCTCTGCAGTCTCGTGTTTTATTTAAACCATCCTTGCAAATTTGAAAAATTCCACTCTATAATACATCCATTTTATTTTAATATTAAAATGTTTTAAATGACCAGATTAATTATTTAACTTTTCCTCCCTGCTCTCCAGTAAAATCCATGCTCTGGGATGTCAAGCCACAGTTATTCAGTGGCATGTAATCATCGCAAGCCCCAGGCTGCTGCGAAGCAGAGAGAAATAGCTGTGTTAGATACTCTCTCTGGGAGAAATATCAGTGGTGACATAAAGTGACTGGAACATGTTCCTATCTAGAAGGACTAGCTGGGGTCTGTGCGCTCAGAGGATGGGCACAAAGGCCTGGGTTATGTATTCACTCGGTTGCAACTAGAGAAGCATCATAAAATTTTTAAACTTGCATGAATTCAAATGTACTCATTGGGGAAATTATTTTCTCGGTAGTGAGACTGGTTTTGCTTGTCAGTCCACTCAGTGAAAGTGAGTGAGTCGGTGATGAAATGGGAGCTAGGGATCCTGCTTTTCCCACGAGAATATCCATTCTCAAGTTCCGCCTGTCGGCTGACCCCTGCCGATTAGAAATTTAAGTGTGCTCACCCACGTGTGTCTTCAGTAACCTGGTCCTCACATGCAAGCCTGGTGTGCAAGAGGAGAATCAGCGGAGTGCTCTGACACTGGAGGGAAAAACAGCCACATTGGATGCTGGCATGACACCTCCAAAGGGAATTTTCAAGGGTAACTTTGACTAAACGTGGTTTTCACCTTTAGCCTCCCTGCCTGTCTTCTCCACACAGACACACTGTTGCACACATGCTGTTGCAACTCCACCGTGCTAGGTGCTTTCCCTGAAATGACCTGTGGACAGCACCTCAGCTCAAGGACAAGGCAACAGTTGCCCAGAGAGGTGAAGTGGGAGCCCAGTGGTAGGACTTTCCAGCCCCAGAGTGTACACTCATTCCATCGGGCCTTTCTGCTCCTACAGTTGTATTAAAATCTTTTAAATCATGAATTGCTCAAAAAGAAATTTTTTATTTTTAATTTAAATAATCTCAACAGGGAGTTCCCTGGCAGTCCAGTGGATAGGACTTGGCACTTTTACTGCCGTGGCCTGGGTTCAATCCCTGGTCAGGGAAGTAAGATCCTGCAAGCCACACAGTACAGCCAAAAAAAAACCCAACGGCATTTAGTCCAGACTTGCAGAGAACCAAGTTACAGGGTCTGCCTGTGCTTTTTTTGGCGACAGCAGTGAATCCCGGCTGCGCTCTGGCCTGAGCTGGAGAAGAGCGGGCCGAGATTGGAGTGAATTTTGCACCACGTCCGTGACTTTCAGGCTGCACTCAGATAGCTGTTCCCCATGTGTGTGTCAGCCCCAGGGTGGGCTTGTGGGGCAAGTGTGCGCCTGGATCTTGGGAGAAGGCGTTACGCGGCATTCCAGCTGCCCTCTGGGGATTCTCACTGCTCCTGCTTTAGTAAAATGTGGCAGGTCGCCTGGCAACCCCCAGCTGGTGGGGATTTTTTTCTACCTACTTTAGGAAAAAGCCCTCTATCAGCTCTTGGCTGACTACTCAGGGCGAAGTAGGAGATAAACTTGGCTCTGCAAGCCGACTTTCTCCTTTATTTTTCACACCTCTGCGTGTATCTTAACATTCGCGCTCTCCTCTGTTCTCATTTGTCTATCATTTGAAGGTAGAAGCTGGACAGTTTGCCTCCCAAATCAAGTCCTGAGGGGGATTGGTTACCGAAAACATGTTCTTTTTTTACATTAGTCAAAATTGTTTCATTTGTGAGTCAGACCCGTGGACTGTTGCACTGAGTGTGTTGTATATAGCCATGCACCTCCGTGCTGCTGATTTGGTTTTGACAGAAGGATCCAGTTGTAGCCTTAGAAGGAAGCGTGGCTTGTGCATTTCCTGTTGGTGAAGGCCTCTAACTGCTGCCCTAACCTGGTGCGGGACCAGTCTGTCTGTGAGTGCCCTGCAGAAACGTGGTTTGTAGAGCTTTGCAGCTCTGTCCCATGCAAGTTGCTGTCAGATACTCATATTTTTTCTTCATTGAAATCATAGCATAATGCTATGCAAAGGCAGGATAAGTAAATTCATTCATTAAACTTAAGTTTACATGCTTTAAAATGAGACTTTACTTATGTTAGAGGCATTAGATGTGGGACTGCAGAGTTATCATTTAAAGGGTGATAATATTTTTCTAGGGAAAAATAAAAGTAGAGAGTACTTTAAAATCCCTGAACGCTCCGTTATCAATCAGAAAGCATTCTGTGTTCTGCTCAACCGATACATGACCTTCAAAAGTTATTTTTCAATTTCCTAATTTGTGTTAAGCATTTTGATGTTGTCGGAAGCTCTTGAGCCTTTGGGAATTTTAAGATGTAATGTTATAAAATACACCCCAGGTCCCCGGTCCTTGGCCTGTTAGGAACCGGGTGGCACAGCAGGAGGTGAGCGGTGGGCAAGTGAGCCAAGCTTCATCTGCCGCTCCCCATGGCTCCCTATCGCTCGCATCACTGCCTGAACCATACCCCCCACCCCGCCCCCGTCCGTGGGAAAATTGTCTTCCACGAAACCAGCCCCTGGTGCCAGAAATGTTGGGGACCACTGCTTTAAAGTGTAGCAGTATAACAACACTTGCCACTGTATTCAGTTTCTTTTTTCATGTAAGTGTTTTAAAATGTAACACTTGACTCTTGTTTTCTAACCAGTCGATTTTCCATTGGATGTCCAAAACACACAAAAAGATCTACATTTACTTCTCCTTAGGATGTAGAAAACAAAATGACTGTTCAGAACAATGTAGAGATCTTAACAACTTCAGACAGGAAAGTTGACCAATGCCAGTATCAATTAAAAAAGAAAATCTGCCTTATTCTCCTGCTGGCACAATATTTCACAGGTTCTTTAAATGTTCAGGAGTGGTGAAAAACTTGTTACTTCTCTGAATTTGGGGAGTTGCCATCTTCTAAAAGCACTTCCTCACCGAATGGGAGAAGCTCACTCTCTGGCCGCCTCTCGGGCAGGCATGCTCTCCCCTCCCCCTTCCTCTCCCCATCCCTCTCTTCGTCCCTCTCTCTCCTATCTTTCCATCCCGCAGTCTCCTGTGTATGTATGTGCTTGACACTGAGCTACTTCAGCTGCTTTTGGCAGCTTAACATGCTTGTGTCAGACCCGAATGCTGCCTGTAGGTCTGACCACTGATGATGGCAGCGACCACCTCCCATAACAGGGAGACAGACTTAAGGATGAAGAAAATAAAGAGGTGGATTAGTCTTCTTAAACTCCTAAAGCCCATAGGGAAATGGTTTGGTGACTTAAAAGGAGAAAAATAATACAAGTGTAGAATGAATGTGTTAAAAGCCAAGATGGGGTGGGACTTTAAAAACCAAAGTAATTCTTACTCAGTTTTGTGCTGCCCCTTTGGCCTGTTTGGTGATCTGCAGGGTTTTACTGTGTGGTCTACAGACAGAACCCACCAGTGAAATAAATTAGCTGCTGGGCACATAGTGTCAGCAAAGGCAAAGAGTAAAACTGATGTGGAAAATAAGGCTAGCTTCGTCATTCTTTATTTCCTCATTGGAGAAGCTTGTGATTCTTTCTGTATACGTTTCTGAAGTCAGACATTGCCGGTTATAACAAATACCTTGCATTGTCCCAAGGCAACCTGTGGTCTGAAGAGCAGATTTCATTGCTTTTGTTATGAATCGATTCTCTCTCCATAGAGGCTGGACACAGTGCCAGTGAGGCTCCATGCAGGCACCAAGGAGGCTGGCCTGAGTGTTAAAGGAGGTTGTGTTGGCATTTTTTTCCTCACCTTTTTGGTGGTAACAGATCACATGCGGGGTGTCCTGGAGACGCTGAAGAGGCGAGTCACGTTTGATGCAGATTTCAGGAGGTTCTGCATCTCTAGATGGATTGTAGGGGTGGGGAGCGGGGAAGAGAACAAGGCAGGACTAGGAAGAGGGCTCTTTTCATAGGTAGCATCTTGGTGCCATCCTGAGAACCCTGAGAGGTTCTAGATTGGTAGCGTGGCAGAGAAGGGTTAACGAGAACCATAGACGGAGTTGTCTATATGGACAGTTTATATGGAATTTCTGTGACTCCTTACTAGGTTGCGAGAGGCCAGTTTGCTTCTGGGGACTGATACCCTCCTTCCCAGGGGTAATGACTCACCCTGCAGGTAAGATAGCTCAGCCCTGCCTGGCTGATAAAGGCCTGTCATTCTCATTCTCTCCCCAGGCCCCCTCCTTCCCTCCTGGGTTTCACTTGGTTAATGAATAAGCCTAGTCATGAGCTGTAAGTAAATTCTTTTATCAAATGAAAACCACATCAAAACATCCACAGAGAGACATTTAATGAAAGTGTAAATATTGCAGTACAGCATCTCCCGTATCTGGTTGGCTTATACACAAACAGACTTTAAGCTTTTCACCTATTGAAACCTTTAAGTCTGAAAATATGCTGCTCTGTGAGGCTTTTTGTAAACATGGTCTTGGGACGTGGAGAAAAGTTGGTGCATTTATGTGTTATCACAACAGCACTAATATTGTGGCAGATTTAATGCTTCATAAACAGCTCAAACTGCCAAGGTTAACAGTCCAAAAGTGTGGTGTTGGTGTGTGGGGGGACATTTATATTTGGTGTATATTCGTGTCTGGCATCTGAAACATCGCTCAGGAGAACCACTGAACCCTTCTTAACTCTGACTGCAGACCCGGCCACTACCTCGAGCCAGCAGTTCAGTTTACACACTGGCTCTGGTTGGTGAATAGGTTGTGTCCTAAAAGTTCTTTTGTTGACTAACCTTTTAGAACACAAAGCGCATTGTCGCACAGAAATGCCACTTTGAATGGTGGGTGTCAGTGAGCTGTGGCTTGTTTCAAACTTCGAGTCATAGCCCATCAGTGGGTCAGAAAATCAGTGCTAGTTGACGCCAGAATAAAAAAGAAGAGAGAAAAGAAACAATAGGAAACATCAGAGTGGGTTGCCTAGAAAAGATAGGTCTTGTTTGGTGACACTGTTGCAACTTAAAACCTACTGGACACTGTATGCCTTTAGAGCGCGAAAGGTACCCGTGTAGGGGGAGGTTGTATCAGCAGTGGGTTAAATCTGGCCATTTTCCACTGTCCAGCACTGTGATGTCAGGCAAGGGGCTTAACCTATCTGGGTCTCTGTTTTGTCATACTCAAAATAGGGCTGTTTTGTAGAGGTACGATTAGAGATGAAAGAGTGTATGTTAGGATTAATATATTAGGATATCATAGACCATAACGGTAATATATTAGGATTAGAGCTAATACAGCATCTGGTGCATGGCAACCTGTCTGTAAACCATGATTATTATTTATTTGTACTCCTTTGTGGTATATGTAGACCTTAAAGATACTGTCATAAAATAGTATAACTAAAACATGTACTGTTTAGTCTTCCCTAGAGTATAATTTATTCAGTGTTCCTGACATTTAGGATCTGCCATTTCACACATTCTAGGAGGAGATCTTTGATTTTACTTTAAATTATTCCTGTGTAGTTGAGACATCAATCTTAATTGTTTCCCATGAAGTGTGAAGAATGTTGCAAATTGCCTTAGGTCTTTCAGCTGTCTGTCAAGTTCGTCAATACCATTAAGTATGGAATTGCTTCCCAGCTCCCTATTGTAAGTTGTGTGTTTTCGTCTTTATTTAAAAAAACAAAAAAAGGTATTCTCTGTCTTTTTCTTAAAGTGACTCTCAATTCTAAACTTTTTGGAACTCCATCTGCTCCTGTTTGACTCCATCATAAGATCATTCTTACCTCCTGCACGTCACTACCCCATCTTTTAAGGAGCTGTGTCAGCATTTATGAAAACCTTTTTTTGTCTGGCTTGGGTTTAGAGCAGCAGCTGTGTTGACAGCTTTGAGGGGCAGGTTAAAAGTGTCATCGGAAGCCTGGCATCAAAGTCAGGGAGGTGAGGATTCAAATTCAGCTCTGCCAGTTCATTATCTTGGCCCTCTGCAGGTTACTCAACCTCTCTCAGCCTCTGTTTCCGTGTCTGTAAAAACAAGAGGTCCTGCCCACCTTGTGGGGTTGCTTTGAGGAGAAAAAGAGCACGGGTGGATTGGTAACTTTGCCTAGAAGGCCGCTGTCTCCAGCTGGGTCCTCGTAAGTCACAACTCCACAGCCTTTTCTGCCCTTCCTGTCCTCCCGGCCTCAGCTCTGGGGCTCTCGGGAAGACCCACTCCCTTTACCCAAAAACAGCCAGCTTCCGGGTGGGGCTTCCTACCCCAGATTCATCGAGCTCTGCACCTGCTCCTCCCTTCTCTCGGAAGTGGGGTCCCCACGCGTGCTCTGGGCCCCGTTTCCTCTCCAGGCCTTTCGATGTCCCTTATCCTCAGGCCCACCTGCTGCTTCTTCCAACAGTGAGAAAACCTGCTGAATCTAATCCATCTTTTCAAAAGGACTCCTAGAACCCAGTTCCCTTTGCTCCCCGTGACTTCTTTCCTTTTACAAATTCCAGTGGTCTGGATTCATCACCCTAGCCATCGTGCCCTCTCATTTAGCCGAGGTCCCCGGTGACCTCCGTGCCATAAAGCCCCGGAGCCCCTGTCTCCTCTTGCGTGGTTGCTCAGTACATTGACCCACCCTTCCTTCCTGGGCTCCACAGCCCGAGACTTTCTAAGTTAGTCCCCTCCTCTTGGGCCCACAGCGTCCCAGGCTCCCCTGCCTGCTCCTCCCCATCTATAAGGTGATTAAATGTTTGCTGTTCCTCAGAGTTCCACTAGGACTTCTTTTCTTACTCCACGCCTTCTCCATTCCCATTCCTGTTTTCCCCTTCAGTTGCAGTGATCTTGTAGGAACACACATCAGATCACACTCGCACCCTCCTGGTGACTAAAACCCCACGGTGGCTCCCTGTGCACTTAGCCGGAGCCCTGGAGGCGTGTCCATCATTCCAGCTTCACCTCAGGTCCTCCCCGCTCCCTCTTTAGTCTCCACTGTTAAGGTCGTGTTTCAGTTCCTCAGTCAAGACTGTGTCTCCTCACTCAGATAGGTCACTCGGTGTTCCTTCTGCCTGGAACACGCTTCCCTACCCCCAGTGTCTTTGACACTGTCTGCTCTCCCAGCCTTCGGTCTCAGGAAAGGCTGAATGTCTTTTCCTTAGGGAAACGGTCCCTGTGTCCTGGGCTTGACCAGCTAGCTCCCGCTGGAAACTCCAGAGCGCTTTTCTAACCCTCAGCACACGTGTGGGGCTCTGTGCCCTGTCCTTGCCTCCTGGCGAATACAAGGACCAGGTCTCTGATTCAGCCCCAGTTGCCCATGCATAGAAGATGGTGTGTTTGTTCATGAATGAATGGATAGATGAGTAAATGAACAAGTGAGAGTTTCATACATTAGCGTCTGTGTTCACGAACGGTGGAAGGGTGAATAAATGAACGAGCAAGAGCAGAACTAAATACATTTGTTTGTAAAGCAGTCAGCACAGCTCTTATATACAGTAAGTGCTCAATAAATGGTAGCTTTATTTCTTCTTAATCGACTTTTCAGCTGGGAACCATGAAAAGAAAAAAAAAAAAAACCCACCCAGGCTGGTTAATGCGAGCAGTGCTCCTTGGTGACACCCTTCAGTAAAAGTGGAGGCAGGTGGCAGAGGCCGTGGGAGCGAGAGCTTAAGCAGCAGCTTCTTTCCCACAGTCAACCTCGTGCTCCTCCTCATGCTGAAATCATCATTTCTCACCTCGATTCCTGTCTCCCTGGTGCTCCCCTACCAATCCTTCCTGTTCCTTTCCTCCTCCTCTAGATTGTAAGCTTATTCCGGGCAGGGACCATCTCTTCCCTTCCTCCACACGCCGGTGCCCAGCACAGTACCTGGAGCCAGTGTTTGTGGAATGAATGAATGAGATGCACGTTTCAGAAGCGGACTATGGTGTTGCCAGGAGAGTTAGTGAAAATTAATTGACTAAGTTTGGTCTTAGTTCAATTTTTAAAAATTATAGTTCAGACTTTTTGATTTTATACTTGTCCAGTATGGTTGACGTATCGGTTCCTGTATTTTCCACGTTTTTGCATGGGAAAGACCCCAATTCTAAATGATAGCAGTATCGCGTGAGCTTTGCAGACTCAGGTCTGTGAGGCCCCCCTCACTTCTCGCCCCCCAGTGTGTGATGAGCTATACAGCTCGCCGAATCTGTTTCACTGTAGAATATCTTATGGGCTTAGACACCGTTCTTTTAGTCTGAACCGTTTGTTTTGTGATCTAACAGCCACAGCCTCATTACTTAGGCCCCTACCGTGTGCCAAGCCCTGTGCTGAGAGCTCTGTGTATGTACTCTCTGCCCTTCCTAATAGCTTTCTGAGGTCGGTAGATATGCCCATTTTATGGATAAAGAAAGGGAAGCCCAGGGAGGCAGGTGACTTGCCTCAGGCAAGTTAAAATCGGGGGCAGGATTTGAACCTAGGCCACTGTGGCCTTGGAACCTGTGGTTTTCCCATTTGACTTCGTTGCCTCCCTTTGTGTAGATTTTAAGTAAATGTCACCATGTCTACAGGTCAGCCTTTGTCCAGTTTGTGGAGAGTGTTTTCTTCTCCACATCTTTAGTTTTTTTTTTTTTTTCTGCTACACCTCATGGCTTGTGGGATTTTAGTTCCCCAACCAGGGATCGAACCTGGGCCCTCGGCAGTGAGAGCGTGGAGCCCTAACCACTGGACCGCCAGGGAATTCCCATCCACTTCCTTGGCCTTAACTAGAGACTCTGAGGTGAAATGAGGTGTGGGAGCCGTGAGCAGAATGAGGGGGTGACGTGGAGAGGGCACGGAGTCGTAGGCGTGACTTGTATGTGGCGGAACCAGGACGGGACCCACTTCCTCTCCGGGCGCCTGTTGAGTTTGCTCTGGTCCTTATCTGTCACAGGGACTCACAGCACCTGCCCGCACGGTACCAACCACCCAGTGCCGGGGGGTACGAGCCTGGTTCTGTGAACGCTCAGCTGTTCTTGCTCTCACACTCTGCCCTTCACATCTTTTTAAGCATCGTGGCCTGAGCTTGCTCCCTTGGCCTTAGTGCATTTCATTTCCTGAGTGTCTCCTGCATGTCAGGTGCTGTGATAGAGGCTTGGGGAAAGCAGAAGTGAGTGAACCCATTTCCCTTCTGCCTCTTACTCCATTATTTCCGCTGTGCTCTTTACAGTGCTTGGATCTCTTTCA